ATTTATCCGATTCCAATCTCTCTCCTGAGTCATAGAATTGTATGTCAAAACACCCAACTGAACATCTCAACCGGTTGCCCTCTGGTACCTCCAATTCAATTTATCCAAATAAAATTCATCATCGTTCCTTCTCACCCAAACTGGCTTCTCCATTTGTGCTCTCTATTTTCAATGGATTAACCATCACTCTCCATTTACAGCCAAAGCTGGAGACCAGGATATCATCAGTGCCTCATCTCTTGCACCCTTACATCTAATCTATCACCAAGCCCCATCCAGTTTACATTTTATGTGTCTTCTCCTTGGTGACTACCCTAATCTAGACACCTGATTGACCACCCTAGCTCTAGTTTTACTCTTTCAATCTCTACTCCATACTAGGCCAAAGAGGTCTTTCTAAAATCCAGATCTCATACCATACCCTGCTTAAAGACTCTTTTATGGTTCTTCATGAGTTTAATCGTGGCCTATAAAGATTTTTGTGACAGCTCTTCAGCCTAGCTGTATGATATTCCATTGTATGGATGGACTATAATTTATTTAATTAGTCTTCTAGTAACAGATGTTTGAGTTGTTTGTAAGCTTTTGCTACTATAAGCAATGCTATAGTTGATAACTTCGTGTATAGTTTATTATAAGTGCAAGTATATTGGATCAAAAATTATATGCATTTGTAATGTTGAGAAGTATTGACAATTTACAGTTCTACCAGTAACATATAAAAGGGTCTATGTCCCCACAACCATGCCAGGGGTCTATTGTCAAACATTTGGAATTTTTGCCAATCTATAGGTGAAAAATGATATCTAAATGTAGTTTCAATTTTCTTGTGAGTGAGGCTGAGTATTTTTTCATATGTCTAAGAGCCATTTATCTTTCCTTTTATGTTAACCATCCCATTTTCTTATTGGATTTTTGTTCTTTTTCATATTGATTTGAAGGGATTTTGTATATATGAAGCAAATTAGTCCCTTTGTCTATGATATGAGTTGCAAATATTTCCCCCAGTTTGCCATTTGTCTTTATGGTGTTTTTTGCTCTGCAGAAATTATAGATTTTTATGTTGACAGAATATGTTTTTATGCTTTGGGAAATTTTATGCTATTCTGAAAAATACTTTCTCCACTATGACATTATGAATTTATGGTTTTACTCTTACACTTATTTAAACACAATTGATTCATATGGATTTATTTTAGTGTAAGGACTAAAGTAGAGATACCACATTATTTTTTTTTCAGGTGGCTACACAATTGTCTCAATACCACTTACTGAATAATTCATCTTTTCCCTACTGATAGACAATGCCATCTTTATCATATGCTAACATTTTAAATGTCTTGGGTCTAATTCTGGACTCTCTTTTGTTCTCTTGACCAAATTGCTAATGCATGCACCGTGTCCCCTGGATTTTATTATTTTAATTATTGTAGCTTTTAATGGTTTAATATCTGGTAGAGCTATTCCCCTCATTAACCTTCTTTTTTAGAATGTTCATGACTATTCCTGACACAAAAATTTCCATATGAACTTTATATTCAGGTTACATAGTGTTAGTATTTTTATCAGATTGTGTTAAATTTATAGATTAATTTATGAAGACCTGACATCTTTATGCTAGCAAGTCTTTCTACCCAAAAATAGAATATTCCTTTCCATTTATTCAAGCCTCCTTTTGTGTCCTACAATATTGCATTTTAATTTTGGGCACCTAGATCTAGCATATTTATTGTAAGGTTACGTTTGATTAGTTTACTTTGTTGTTGCTATTGTAAATTATGCTTTTTAAAAATTTTTTATTGGGGGCCGGCCGAGTGGCGCGATGGTTAAGAACTTGCTTGGGATGCCAGAGGGCCCCGGTTCGGATCCCACATATGAGGGCCAGTGACACTGCCCTCTACAGCTAAGATGCTGAACAACAGCTCAACCTGGAGCTGGGCTGCAGTGAGTCGCAGGCGACGTGGGCTGCAGTCCCTGTGGCAGTGGGTTGCCATGGGCTACCGTGTGTAGCCAGCAGCCAGCGTGAGCGGCCAGCAGCCGCAATGAGCGGCCGTCCAGAAGCCGGCAACTGATCTGCCTCACCCGGGAAAAGCGCAATGATGGTGTCAACTTGGGCCAGTGAAGCAACGTCCTCCACAACTAGACTGAAGAACAAAACAACAGCAACTTGTCTGTCCCCCTTCCCCCAATTCCCCAGCACTGTTCCCATCCCCCCAATTCACCAATAAAAATTAAAAAAAAAAAAAAAAAAGTTTAAAAAAAATTTTTTATTGGGGAACAGCATGTTTTTCCAGGACCCATCAGCTCCAAGTCAAGTAGTTGTTTCAATCTAGTTGTGGAGGGCACAGCTCAGCTTCAAGTCCAGTCGCAGTTTTCACTCTAGTTGCGGGGCGAGGAGGTGGAATGCAGCTCACTGGCCCATGTGGGAATTGAACCCACAACCTTGTTGTTCAGAGCACCCGCTCTAACTAACTGAGCCACCCGGCAGCCCCTAGAGCCTGTGTTCTTGAGAAATGGGTTTTTTTTAGCTGAGCCATCCTGCCACCTGTTGAAAGCTCAGCTGCAGCTCAGCTCGGGCCGGGCATCGAACCACTGTTGCTCAGAGCTTGCCCTCTTGAGCGAGCTCTTAACCAACTGAGCCACTCGGCTGGCCCTAGAGCCTGTTCTACTCTCCCAGGAGCCCTGAGCAGATGAGCAAAGGTCCGGAAGAAATCATGAATGTGGCCTCCATTGTAAGCCACATCTATCTGGGCAAAGAATATAGGACTGTGAAAGACTACTCTGGAGCCACGGACAGTTAACTGGAGGCTGGGTGACTGGTGCCACTGCTAGCTTTTCTTTTTATCCACACTCTTCTTTTTGTTCCTTTGCTGGCTCCTCCTCCACCTTAACTTAAATGGTAGAGTGCCCCAGGCATTGGACTTGGACCTTCCTCATTCTCTGTCTACACTCTCACCCTCGGCACTGGTATCCAGGTCTTCATGATAATGATTCCCTAATGCGTATCTTCAGTCCAGGCTTCTTCCTTGACATGACTAGTGTGTCCACCTCTCTACTTAACACCTCCATCAAGATACCTCATAGGCATGTCAAACTTAACGTGTCTAAACAGAACTCTTTGTGTCTGCCCCCATACAAACCTGCTCCTCCCAGACTTCTCCTTTTCAGTAAGTTTATTTAACACACATACTCAACAAATATTAAGCACCTACTATTGCAGTGAACAAAATAGACAAAAATCCCGTCATAAAGCTTACATTCTACTGCTGGGGGACATACAATAAACAGAAAAAAGAAATAAATTACATCATATATTAGAGGATAATAAGGGCTAAGGAGAAAAACAAAGTAGGTAAGGGGTAAAGAGTCCAGGAGCTGGGGACTAAAATTTTTAAAAGGGCAAGTGAGAGGAGCAGGAGATGAGGTCAGAGATAACAGGGGTTAGACCATGAGCTTTTATTCTAAGGAAAATGGATGATTTTGAACAGAGGCTTGACATGAGTGGATGTCCATGTTAATGGGAAATTTCTATTAAATACCCTAGCTGCTGTGAAGAAACTGGAGGAGGGGCAGTAAAGATGAAAACTGGGAGACTAGTTAGAAAGCTCTTGCAACAGTCCAGATGAGAGATGAGGGATCCAGGGGGACTTGGATCAGGAGACAGTGGGGAAACTGGTGTGATAGGACCAGATTCTGGATATATCTAAAGGGGGGCTCTAGCATCCACCCAGTTTCTCAGGCCAAAAATCTATGTCTCATCCTTGATTCTTCTCTTTTCCTCATATCCCATATCCAATCCATCAGCAAGTCTTTGTGGTTTTATCTCCAAAATATACATCAAGCACTGTTTCTGTCCATCTTCACTGCCACCACAATCCAGCTAAACGACCTGGGATACCTCTCTCCTGGATTGCTGCAATAGCCTCTTATCTGATCTCTATGCCTCCTCTTTGACCCCCTATAACCCAATCTCCACCAGCAGCCAGAGGGTTCAGTCTAAAAATTAAATAACATCACAGGACTGATGCCTTTGCTTGTAATCAATCCTTTACGATCTTTCCAACGCATTAAGAATAAAGGTCAAGAGGCCGGCCGAGTGTCTCAGTTGGTTAAGAGCTCACTCTAGAGTGCGAACTCTGAGCAACAGGGTCACCAGTTCGATTCATGACCCGAGCTGAGCTGCTGCTGAGCTGCCAACAGGTGACAGGATGGCTCAGCTAAAAAAAAATAAAGAAAGAATAAAGGTCAAAATTCACACCATGAACTATAAGGACTAATGAAACCCGCTCCTGAGGACCTCTCTGTGCTCATCTCTTTTCCTTTTTTTCTTGATCATACTGCTCTAGCTACACTGGGCTCCTCCTCAAACTCACCAAACTCTTTTTTGCTTTAGAGCTATCTTTTCCCCTCTAAGGCAACCTACCCCACCTTCTTCCATCACTGGTCCCTTATCAACTGTCAAATCTCAGCTCTTCTGTCACCCCCTTAAGAGACCTCCCTGATAACTCTCATCTAGTGTAGATACTGTACTAGATCTAGATAGCCCACCAGACCACATATCAGGAAACACACAATCTTTCAGGGGAGATAAAATAGGTTAATACTCATTAAGCAAGATCATAGGACAGTAAATGAGGTGGGAACTTTTGAAGCACATGGCTAGAAGGGCCAGCCCCCCCATCTGACACTTGAATTCCCCTGGCAATGTCCAGGCGACATGTACTCGGCGCCTCCATTGAAGGGACCGCCTTTGCTGCTGGACAGCTTTGAAATTGGATCTTCCTTATTCTGAGCTGCAGCGTGTTTCTCTGGAGCTACTACACTTTGGTGCCCTCCAAGGAAACATAAAACAAACAGAAACCCTCTTTTAGAGGACGGTCTTTCTGGTTTCCGAGGGCAACTCTTACACCCTCAAACTTTTCCGGTAGGCTTGTCCTCCCATACCAAGATTCCATCCAGGGCACTCCCCTCTGAAGGTGCTTCCGTTGGTCTTCTCTTACCTCCCAGAACCCAGTGTCTCCAGCAGTCCAGGTGGGATTGGGTTGACGGGACCAATTTAGCACCGCTCCTGTACCTTTTGGGAACGCGGCCCACGACCCTCCATCTGTTCCATAGACATCAACCTCCCTTCCCCTTCTGTACACATCTCTCCGGGGAATTCAACATCATCTCCCTGTCTCGTGCCCATCACAGGGCCTGACAGAATCGTTTCTCTAAAACCGCTGGTGGAATCGAACAATGCATAACTGGTCCTGGTAAACTATCAAAGACTCCTATTCCTCTTGCTTATTCGGAAGCCGAAATCGAGTCCGCTGCCCGGGCCCACTCTCGGGCCCACCCTGCCCCGCGTCGTCCACCTCGCCCCTCGATCTCACTCCTCAGCCTATCCCGACCCAAGTCTCGCCCTTCCCTTTAATCGCTCCCCCCAACCGGGTAACTTCTGGCGTCTATAATCCCTGATGTTTCACTATATGTCGTCCCAGTTGGGAAAGCCTTTCATTTTTCCTGTAGCAAAAGAGTGACAATTTCGCAGCCATGGCCACGCCCCCTTCGCTCACGTTTCCGGACGAACCGGAAGAGGTTGCGCAGCTACTAGTTCGTAGACCCGGAATTAGACGTACCTCACGGAAGCTGGCTTTGGCCCTGCGGCAGCTGCCGTCGCCGCGGAGAAATTGTTGGAGCTGGCAGCTTAGGAATGGTGAGACCTCGCGGTTCGCCTCTGAGGGTTCTGAGCGGAGTTGGGGGTCAAATGGAGTTTCCCAGAGTGCCGCCGGGCACGACCCCCACCAAGGTTTGGGGCCCCGCCCCGGTAGCGCCCCGAAAATCTGCGCATGCGTGATTTGGACCGGGCCAGAAGCTGGGCCGAGATGTTACGCATGCGCAAAGGTGGCATGTCGAAGGTGGGGTTAGAATTGGCGGAGGCGTTGGTGCACTTCCCCCGCCAGCAGCCCATGGGGCTTAAACCAAGGCTGCGAGAGCATCGGGGTTTATTCGGTGCTTTTTTTTGAGTTGCAGTGCTGACTTCTTAAACACCACTCTATCCCGAGTCCCTGAAACAGACCTGGACCAATCCCCCACCTTGGGTGTGCATTCGAAGGAGAGTGAGGGGCGGAGGGCCGGGAAGGAAGGGGGCGCAGACCCTGCTTCAGTATGTCCTTGAAATCAGGGTCCTTCGCCCTCTCCCCGGGTGTCAAGATTCCCAGCTGTATCCTATGGGGCGGCACGATGAACACACCTGGGCAGAAGGGGCGGGACCTGCACGCGGCGCGCCCCCTGAGTTCCCAGTACCTGAGTTCTCAGGCGTTTACGAGCCATCTCGTCCCGTGGTTAATTCGGGCAGTCCCCAAACCGTTTATTTTAGTTTCCACGAGGTACTACCCACTAAATCTTCAGCTAAAGATGCAAATGGAAAAGGAAAAAAGATAGACTGTGTGGAATTCTATTCTTTTTCCTTCTTTGGCCTGGGTGGGAAGGGGGTGGTGCTGCTGATCTGAGTGGCCAGCTGACAAAAAGAAAAGTGAGTCAAGAATCCCTTGTTCCTGCTAGTTTATATCAAAGTCCTTAACCTAGGGGCTATGAGTAGAATTAGTGGGGTACATGAGCCCCCTAAATAGTATGTGTGTGTGTGCATTTTTCTGGAGTCCATAACTTTGATCATATTCTCAAATGTTAGTGGCCTTCAAAAAGTTCATTATGGTCATGTTGGCAGAATAGAGGCCTGTGTCTTCTTCTGTGTCTTCCCTAGCTTGTGGGACCCTGGGAGACATGTCGCAATATAGGAAGTGAGGCTGGCCAGTTGGAATCCTGAGCCTCAGGAAGCCTCATTTCTCCTTTGCAGAATCTCCTCTCAGCCTCTAAGCTCACCTGGTCAGAATCCTTGGATGAGCCTGTGGGACCCTTCCTAGCCCTGTGGTTTGGAACCAGTGGCTTTGGGACTGTAAGAGGATGGACAAAGGTAGTATGAGGCTGGGCCAGCTCCCCAAATGTTTGGGCGCAAAGCACCTGCTGATTCCACCCTTTGCCTGGCATATATGTCTTTTGGTCCTGGCTGGGAATTGCCACCTCCCCCTGGGCCAGCACCACTAACGTGCCTCTCAGCAGAGGCCACAGTTGACTGACTTGCTGTTGAGCTGCCGCTCTTTGGCATGGCTGCATATTGACGGCAGAGGGAACAGTTATGCCCAGAGCCCAGTGTGTCGGCATCACCAGTCTGACCTGAGCACCGTGTGCTGCACAACGTGACACGTGGCACTGGGAGAACTGCCCAGCGTGGAAGGTCTGGGCCAGGTCTGAGCTCAGATGGGACCTGGATAGCCAAGGAACTCGCATCTTAAAACCTCAGGTGTTGAGGCAGCACATGGGGAGGGCCCAGGAGGGCTGGCAGAGGAAGGGGGTACTGAGAAAGGGACCCATGAGCAAACACTCAAGGCTCTGCTGGACACGTAGGAGGCCTAAGTTCACCACTTCTCTTTTTCTAGATTCTCAGGGGCTGCTAGATTCATCTCTGATGGCATCAGGCACTGCCAGCCGCTCAGAGGATGAGGAATCACTGGCGGGGCAGAAGCGGGCCTCCTCACAGGCCTTGGGCACCATCCCTAAACGGAGAAGCTCCTCCAGGTAGTAAGGGTTTGCCCCTGTTGGGGATGATTACCTGAGACCCATAAGGACCTAAGGATTGGCAGAGCCTTGTGCTTTTCCTGTCCCTACTAAATCCCTGACTGAGGGCAAGGGAGGGAGATCTTAGGTCTTTCATGTGTGGAGTCTGTGGTACAATACCCTGTCATCTCAGGGGTGGGGCATAGCAGTTCCTTGTTCCAGCCACTGAGCCCGATCTGTTAGCACCCAGCTGGGTCTTCCTCTGTCCTGGAGGCTGGGCGTGTGTGAGTGGGTGCCGGGGAGGGGGCAGGAGTTGCTCATTTGTAGGACTCTCCGCAGGTTCATCAAGAGGAAGAAGTTTGATGATGAGTTGGTGGAGAGCAGCCTGGCTAAATCCTCTACCCGGGCAAAGGGGGCCAGTGGGGTGGAACCAGGGCGCTGTTCTGGGAGTGAACCCTCCTCCAGTGAGAAGAAGAAGGTGAAGGATTGGAAGATATTGGGAGGCGGTGAAGGGGATGGGGTCCAGCACCAGATTTTGTGTTTCCCTATAGCCTTTGCCAGCTGGCAAGGGTCCTGCAGAGGAGGCTTATAAGAGGGCCATACTGCCCCACCCTCAACCTCAGATGCCTTCCTCCTAGGCGCCCATCTCTCCCCACACCCCCTTACTTGCTGCACCCCCACCCTGTCAGTGCATCCTGTATCACATTCTGTGTGGGAGGCATGGAGCGTGCATCTATTCTGGGAGCAGACAGCCTGTTCCCAGCATTGCTGGGTGTAAAAATAACCCCCAGGTGGCATTGCTCTGGCCCCAGACACTGTACCAGCAAAAGTGTTTTCCTGGTATCCATCCTTCCCCTCACCCTCCACTCTGGGGTTGGGAGTGCCACCAGCAAAGAGAAGACCCCATATGGTCAAGGACTATGTAGAAGTGCTTTGGTGGGGGCAGGTATTAGAAAGCTGAGCTCCCTACCTGTCTGCTTATTGTTGGCTGGGGCTGCCACACAGTATGTAAAGCTCTAGGCCCAAAGCCCCAGCTGCCCTGATGCCGGCTTGGAGCTCACTGTGTTTCTGTCCTCTGCCCAGGTGTCCAAGGCCCCCAGCACTCCTGTGCCGCCCAGCCCAGCCCCAGCTCCCGGACTCACCAAGCGTGTGAAGAAGAGCAAACAGCCACTTCAGGTGACCAAGGATCTGGGCCGCTGGAAGCCTGCAGATGATCTCCTGCTCATCAATGCTGTGTTGCAGGTAGTGCTTCCCATCCCAGTTTCCGTGTCCTCCTCCCCCCAGCCTCTAGTTCCCAGCCCCCCAGATAGCCCAGCAGTGCCCTGTGGGTGGCAAGGGAAGGGTTCTTTCCAGCTCTAAGTCTGAAGCAAACCTCTCCGGGGCCTCACAGACCAATGACCTGACATCTGTCCACCTGGGTGTGAAGTTCAGCTGCCGCTTCACCCTTCGGGAAGTCCAGGAGCGCTGGTACGCCCTGCTCTACGATCCTGTCATCTCCAAGTGAGTGGGGCTGGCTCCAGCAGTGGGAACTACTGGGGATACCAGAATTCGGCTCCTGGAACAGAAAGAATTGTATAAGGGCCCAAGGAGGGGGCCAGGGAGGCAGGGCTCCTGGGGCCTTGCATCCTCTGGGATGAAACCAGGATGAAAGCTGCTTCGCTTCCTGCTGCCAACCCTGCTAGTCCTGGCCTGATGCCAGAAGCAGGGGGATCTGGAAGCTGAGGAAGCAGCATAGGAGAAAACACCCAAATGAGTGCCAGGAGCCCTGGTTTCACCACTGCGTGCATTGTGGTTTGGGGCAGGTCACCTCCCAACCTTCCCACACTGACACTGCACAATTACTTCCAGCTCCAACAGCCTGAGTTCCAAATAAACCCATGCATACGTGCACCACACACCCTTTCTTCTCAGTCGCTTTGTTTAATGTCATCCAGATTTGGTTGGATGCTTAACACCTATCTTCTACTCTAGCCCCTGGCACTGCTTAAGCTGTAGCCATGGCCTTGATACACCAGGAAACAGGCAGGGCTCAGCTTGGGGAAGGGGAGGTGCTGGGAAGTGGTTAGTGGGTGGCAGCTTTGGCCAAGTAAGGATAAAGGTCTTGGGGAGGGGGCCGTAGTTGGTCTCAGGATCTCCCTCACAACTGGCCTCTAGGGAGCTGTGCCTTCGATCTCTTTGCAGGGTTTGAACACAGGAACTTCATTCAGTTGTCTCAGTTGCCTCTTCATGCTTTTGACAAACCCATGAGGCCCCAGGTGCCATGCTCAGCCTTGGGCTCTTCCTATTGAGGGCCTGGCCTCTCGTCCTGCGTCTCAAAGACCTGCATGTTTTGGAGGAAGTAGGAACCTCATATTGCTTGACAGCCCTCCCTTCAAACCTGCCCTGACCTTGTCTCCTCCCTGCCCAGGCTAGCCTGCCAGGCCATGAGGCAGCTGCACCCAGAGGCCATTGCTGCCATCCAGAGCAAGGCCCTGTTTAGCAAGGCTGAGGAACAGCTGCTGAGCAAAGTGGGATCGGTAAGGTTGAGGGCTGGTAAGGTTGAGGGGCTGGGCAGGGTAGGAGCTGGCCTACCTGGGAAACTGCTGCTGTCGGAGGCTCCACTGCCTGGAAACGTGCCCATGCAGATACGCACACATCTGCAGGGGCCCTTGTGACAGGCTCCTCGGGAAGAGCCAAGCCTCGCTCCCTGGGCAGCCATAGCTGTTGTTTCTTCCAGTTCCTGGTGGGGACTGGCAGGGGGCAGGGGTCGGGGTGGTAAGGCAGAGGCGGAAATGAGAAAACCCAGGTGCCTAGAGCATGCTTCTTGCCCTCCAGACCAGCCAGCCCACCTTGGAGACCTTCCAGAACCTGCTGCACAGACACCCCGATGCCTTCTACCTGGCGCGTACTGCCAAGGCTCTGCAGACCCACTGGCAGCTCATGAAGCAGTATTACCTCCTGGAGGACCAGACAGGTAACTGGCCCCAGCTGGCTGACTGGATATAGGTGTGTGAGTGTGACGTGGTCTGGGCACAGCTGCTCTCAAGTGCCCTGTAACATAATCCTTAGTGTCTTGTTCACCTGCCTTTGCAGCAAAAACCACCTCCTTCCAGAGGGAAGGAAAGTAGTTTCCCACCCAAGAGATGATTTTTTCTAAGCCCTTCTGCCCTTCCCTCTCTTCACCTTCCTTTCTCTGCCTTTTCTCCAACCAGCGGTCATTGCTGTCCTTGCTGTCAGGCTGCCTTCTGACCATTCAGAACTCTCGGCAGGGACTCCACACCACACCCAGTCCTTTGTCTTTCTCCTTCAACAAGGGCCAGAAGGCTCCCTGCTTTATTTCTTCCCTCATCAGACAAAACTCTCTCACTCTCCTAGCGACAAATGCGGAAAGCAGTCTGATTAAACTGCAGGCAACTCTTCAGTTGGATTTGGGATTCAGGGTCAGACTTGCACAGTGCAGCACACTCTGCTCTTACTTCCCAAACATTACTGCCCATTGCCTGCTGTCATTCACACTGCTCTGAAAAGCGAGCTTTGGCCATGCCCTTTACCTTACGACCATGGCCCTGCAGCTCAGTTATTAAAAGATATTCCAGCAAGAGGATTTTGGGAAATCTTGGTCGGGGGGGGGGGGGGGGGGGGGGACCTTTCCACCCTGATGACTTCTGGATTTAGTGCCCGGCCGGCAGCCCACTTTACTCCTGCAGCTTCCATATCTCTGCTGCTTCCTGAGGCTCAGCTAATCGCTGAATTCCCACAGAGAGAACACACACTGTATAAAGTTTCATTTTGCTGTGGTAGCTAGCTGCATCACTGTTTTGAAAGTTATCTTGTGTAATCTTACTTGTTAACTTAAAGGTTTAATTTTTTTCTTCAGGAGTCTTCTTATGTGGGTATTAGAGCTAGGAGTCCCTCAGAACAGGGAGTCCCTCAGAACAGGGAATGTACACTGCTTAACTGGCAAGATTAGCTTGGTGAGATTTCAGGCAGCCATGGTGGGGGAGGGAACATGTGGTAGGCAGTGAGGACACCCCAGGTATTGCCAAAACTAAATCAACAGTTTCACAGCCTCTAACTAGTGGGAGCTACTGCTGAGCTAGTCCTGGGAACCGCTGGCCTTAAGGCAGGAGTTCTCAGATTTCGGAGGCCCCAATTTCTTTTACATTTTGACCAGAAAAAAAAACTGAAAAACTTTATGAAACAATATTTATCCTGAATATATCTGATGGACTCTGATATTAATTATCCTATCTCTGTTTCATTTTTTGGAAAAAATGCAACGAATTTCCTGACCCTTTTTAACGTCATGCATGATCCACAGTTTGAAAAACACTGGCTTAAGGTGGGGCAGCTACCTTCGGCACATCCTTTCTAAGTGGAAACTAACTGGTATGTGCCTCGCAGGCCCTCGCTGAATGGGACAGAAAATGTTCAAGAGCATGTGATGCTTTTGCTGTTTGAGTGTGGAACCTGGGAAGCAGGGCTTGAATCTTGGTTCTGTCTTAAACTAGAGTCACATGGTTGGATCCTCTCGCTCCTATGTCTGTTTTCTCATGTAAAATGAAGCTAATAGCAGTGCTTTCCCTACTTAGGTCAGGGCTGTGTATGTGAGAGCCCTTCGCATACCAGAAAGCCCACCTGAAAGGACAACCTTAATTCCCTTCCCTTTCCAGAACCACTTTTGCCCTCTGTTAACCCCAGGCGGGCTTTGTGCCAAATTAGCATGGAGCCTAATGTGGCATGCACTCTGTTACCTGTATCAGGTTCACTTTTGTTCATTTCAGCACGAAACTGATCCCATGGGCCCAGTTTTTACAGTTTGTCCCCTTAGTTCAGTGGTCTCAGCAGCTTGGGGTTGAGTCGGAGCATCGGCGCTGACCCTCCCTCCGTCTTTTGTTCAGTGCAGCCGCTGCCCAAGGGGGACCAAGTGCTGAACTTCTCCGACGCAGAGGACCTGATTGATGACAGTAAGCTCAAGTGAGTGGCTGGGGCCACAGACGGTACAGAGAGCCGAGTGTCTCCCAGGGGCAGAGCGCCCGGGCCACTCGGCCCTGCCTCTCCTGCTGCCGAGAACAGCCCAGCCTCAGCCTCAGCCTCAAGTTCCAGTTGTAGCTATTGGCCCTGTCTCCTTCCTGAGCACCCCCTCGCCCCCAGTGTGCCTTACCCCACGCCACCCCCCCTGCCGGGAAGGAGGTTAGGCAGAGGCAAGAGGAGCAGCTCGCTGGGCCACCCAGCTAAGGGCTGAGGGAGAGCCTAACAAGCAGAGGAGCCTGATGGTGATGGCAAGTGAGCTAGGAGTGGAGCTTCAGTCATCCTCCTCTTCTTGTTCCCTAGGGACATGCGAGATGAGGTCCTGGAACATGGTGAGTGTGCCCTGGTGGGGACAGTGAGGGGGTGGAAGCTCCTGCCAGAACAGAGAGGACTAGTACAAGGTGCTGGTGACCTTGGAGTGTCCCTGCTTATCACCCAACCTCACCCCAGAGCTGACAGTGGCTGACCGGCGCCAGAAGCGAGAGATTCGGCAGCTGGAACAGGAGCTGCATAAATGGCAGGTGCTAGTAGATAGCATCACAGGTGAGGAGGCCAGGGGACCGGGAGGCGCATGCTTCAACCCTCTTCTCCCCACCCCGAGGGCCTGTGGTTGCCTGGCTAGGTGCACCCTCGTTTCTGGGCCCTGACTCCTTTCCCTCAGTAGACCTTGCACTGGGTCCCACCTTCCGCCCTGTAGCCCTAAGGGGGTGTGCTGTCCCCCACTTGAGCTGCTCCTCCCCCAGGCATGAGCTCTCCGGACTTCGACAACCAGACGCTGGCAGTGCTGCGGGGCCGCATGGTGCGGTACCTGATGCGCTCCCGAGAGGTAAGGCAGGCCCAGCCCTTCCCAACCCCGTCCCCTCTGCCTGGGCTTCCCTCCTCTGTCAGTTTTCCCCTCACTGCCCTTTCTGTCTAGTGCCTGATTTATCATCTTTCCCTGGCCTGTGTGGACCCTTCCCCCAGGCCTCAGGTGCCAGGCCTTACCTTCCCCATTTCCCCAGATCACCCTGGGCAGAGCAACCAAGGATAACCAGATTGATGTAGACCTGTCTTTGGAGGGTCCAGCCTGGAAGATCTCCAGAAAGCAAGGTACCAGCAGGAAGTAGTGTGAGGATATCACTCGCGGCCTCTCACTGCCCTCCCCAGCCCTGGGGCTTTGTCTCCGTAGGCGCTCTCACAGGCCTGCTCGGGCTGATGAGCTGGCATTTCCAGATTTCTAACTTGGGAGTGCTAGGTGCCTTCTAGCCTGTCCCCAGGAAGCAGAGCGGGTACATGGGGGCTTTGGGCTCTCTCCGGCCTCCCCACATCCCATCATCCCCTTTTTCCTCTCTCTTCCCATAGGTGTCATCAAGCTGAAAAACAATGGGGATTTCTTCATTGCCAATGAGGGTCGGCGGCCCATCTACATCGATGGACGGCCCGTGCTGTGTGGCTCCAAATGGCGCCTCAGCAACAACTCGGTGGTGGAGGTGAGCTGGGAGGGAGGCTGGGAGGGAGGTGGAGCGGCCACGTGAGACCAGGGCGTGGTGAGCCAGTATGCAGGCCTGGTCCCCAGCCCCACCTGTCCTCTGCCACCCGTCCCCTCCCACGCAGATTGCCAGCCTGCGATTCGTGTTCCTCATCAACCAGGACCTCATTGCCCTTATCCGAGCGGAGGCTGCCAAGATCGCGCCACAGTGAGGCATGGTGGCAGAACTGTGGCCTGTTTCCCCTGCCATGCTAGCTCCCTGGAGCTGGGAACTAGGCTCCTGGAAAAACAAGAGTAGGCAGCAGGAGCCCCAACTGACGGCCCATTGATCTGAGCCTCTGTGGGGAGGGGCTGGGACCCTGTGGCTTCCTTAGAGCCAGAGCCCCTCCCCATCTCTGAAAAACCACCCTCCCTCCTACCCTCAGATCCCCACCTTCACCCCTTTGTCTCCAGCTGATTAGCTTCAGACTTCCCCTTTATTTTTCTTTTGTAAATAAAAAGCACTGAGTTCCAAAGTAGTTTCTTTTATTGTTATTTTTTAATATAAAAAAATGTGGGGACAGGTGAGATAGGGGCACATGCAGGGGATGGCAGAACCCCTTCTTGGCCTCAGACTGAGGAGGAGCCCCACAAGCAGGGCCCGGAGATTCCTAGCCTGGGGCCTGCCCCTGAGGCTACAGCCCACCCTCCATGAGAGCCAGGGGCCAGGCCTGCCTTGGCTTCAGGATCCCCGCCCTGAGCCAGCGGGCAGCCTGGTGTCCCAGGGGGTGGCTGCTGCCCTTCCTCTTCCCCGAGGTCAGGCAGAGCAGCAGATGGCAGCATGTCTGGCAACACTGAGTTCTGGGGCTGGCAGTCAGACCCCTGTGCCTTCTTCCTGGGTCCACTGGACCGTGCCAGAGCCATGGCAGCCAATAAGCACCATCTCCAGGCTATGGGGTTCCCAGGGCAAGGCCAGGCCCCCTGACCCTGGCGGAGGCTCTCCGGTGCTGGCAGCCTCAGCCTGGCTCACGGGCTCAGGGGGCCCAGTCCTAGCCCCTTCCTCAGGAGGAGGTGAGCCAGGAGTGCTGGCCTCAGGGCAGAGTTCTGAGCCTGGGGGCTCTGAGTCAGAGGTGGAGGTCCAAAAAGCTGTGGCTCGAGGCCAGGGGGAGCTCTGAGAGGCTGGGGGACCCCAGGGCCAGGGTGCCACAAGAGGAGGGGGTCCTGGACGAGGGTGGGGCCAGGTCCCACTCAAGACAGAGCCAGCTGGATGCTGCTGGCAGTAGGAGGTCGTCCCAGTGTCTACACACAGAGGTTGCAGGAGCCCAGAGGTGCTGGCTGGGCATGGCCCCTCTCCCGACACCCGGGGGCATGGGCCCTCCCCATGAGGCGCCAGGATGAGTTGCACGGCCTGGCGCAGAGACTGCAGCCCCTCCCGCATCTGCAGGACCTGCTCAGACAACTCCATCACCTGCAGGGAGGGCGGAGGGTGGGTCAGGGTGGAGCAGGGACCTTAGGCAACAGCAGGGCCCTCTCCCCGCCCTGCCTCCACCTGCCCCTCACCTACCGCCTGCCGGAGCTTATCCAGTGTGTCTGTGTTCCCTGCCTCGCTGGGCCCGAGGGGGACAGTGAGCAGGCCATTCTCTGTGGATAGTAAAACGGGGTCACTAGCCAGGGCGAGTGACAGGAGACAGCGCAGGGTTCAGGTATGTGCCCCAGTTAGCACAGACCACATTGGCCTGGCAGGGCCTGACACCAGGAAGGGCCACTTCCAGTCTTGCCCAGGTTGCTGAATTCTGCCCAAACTGCCAGGGGGCCTCGAGCACACTGTGCCACGCTTTGCCCTTGGGGAAGCTGCTTTCTGTGCCCCGCTCTTGTTCTGTCCTCCAGGGACATAGACACTCCTGGGAACTCATTGCCTGATCCACTCCCAGGGCTGCCTGGCCTGGCTGGGGGCCATTTTCAACGCTGCTTCCTCAGCCCTCCGTCCTCCCAGTGAGCCAAACGTTGTGCTAAGGGTCTTAGCAACATTCTCTTATTTAACATGCACAACCATTTTACAGACTGGAGCTGGGCAAGAACCAGTCACACTGCTAGAGAGCTGACAGCAGACTCAAGCCCGTTCCCAGCTACCTTCCAATACCAAGGTGCTAGTATTAACCCCCAAACTCCCTGCCCATACCATGCAGGTGGGTTAGGGGCAAAAGGGCTTCCAGGCAAAGTCTGTACCCTGCCAGTTTCTCAGAGGTTCACGGGGCAAAGGGACTGCCCTGCTGCCCTCCCCCCCTTGATCCGAGCCCCAGTACCTGGTCCAGGGGAGGGGCTGCTGCTACATTCCGGGCCAGACTGCCCCACACGGAAAGAGAACTTGGGCTGGTCAGAGCCACAGCCATCCTCTATGCCATCTACTACCCTGTGGACACAGACACCAGAACAATAAATCAATGGACAGTTAGCCACTGTGGTGGTTTCCTGGGACAAGATGCCCCAGGATCCTCACACAGAGACTGCAGGAGCTGTGGGCCAGGGGGTTTGGGGCCCCAAGAAAAAGGTGACATAAGGTCCGTTCTCCTAGGAGCTTGCAGTTTCACTAGAAATGCAGGCTTGAGACAGGAAACAGCAAGGGAGTTCTGAGCAGTGTATGGCCGTGCGGGGAGAGAATGGTGGGGTGGAGCAACAGGGAGGTGAAGGAGTCAAGGAAAGCTTCCCGGAGGAGGTTAGGAGGGATTAGGATGAAGGATGGGCACCTACAGCAAGGGTGTGCCTGGCCAGGGCCCCAGCCCTATCACCACCATTTCTGCCAGAGTGTAGTGGCCCAGGGCCTGCTCACCTCGGGCTCAGATCCGGGGGCACATTCCATGGCACAGGGGGCAGCCGCAGCCCTTCTAAGCTCTGAGGGCGAGCAGAGCGGCCAGCCTCAGCCTGTGAAGCCCCTGCCCTGCCCAATCGCCCTCTGCCGCCTAGCCGGGGCCGGGGCGCAGTTCGACGTGGGGATAGGAGCTTGGCAGCTGAGGAAGAGGAGGTGCAGCCAGGGGACAGCAGGGGGCTGGAGGGCTCATCAGCTGGGGCTGGTGAGGCTGCAGGGCCTTGTTCCCCATCTGTCTCCTTCTCCTCCAGCGTGGACATGAGGGTGTTGTCGCCGCTCAGGGAGCTGGTTTCCACCTGCGGAGAGCGGGGGACAGGGAACTGACATGGATAGCCCTTGTTGTGACCCACTCATCCCCCACCCCAGCCTCATCTCCCCAGAAGAGCCATTTTGTTAAACAGGATGCCCAGTATCTCCCACCTTGCAGAGGAAGAGACTCAGTAAGGGGGTAGGGAGTGGAGGGAGGGCTGCTTTTCTGCTGCCACCACCAAAGCCACCAGGCCCTGGAGATATTTGCTGCCCCTCAAAATTCTAGCTGTGTGGCTTGTTCCCTTAGGCTAACTGAATTATCCAAGAGAACACAGTACTAAAAACTGGTTTGAAATTGGTGACAGAAACCAGGAAAATTCAAAAGCCCGTCAGAGCAGTCCTGTTTCACCGTTAAGAAGTGGGGAGATGCAGGGCTCTCTTCACGGGTGGCCTGGATGGCTGTGCATGGCTCTGCCCACCCTGCCCCGTGGACACCATCCCTCATCTTCACTTTCTCCTTTTCTGGTACCAGTGGACTTGGCTGCCCTACCCTGAGACTTTACTCTGGATGGGCCCGGCTGTCTCAGATGGGCCAGGGAGAGCCAGGAAGGGTAGCTAAACATGGCTGGGCTCTAAAGGACAGAGTGTGGGTATGAAGGGACAAGCAGACTGAGTGTAGACCCCACACACACACACCATGCACAGGGGGTGTTCACCCAGGCCATGTGCTCACACAGCACCTCCACAAACCCCAGCCTCTGCCCACCTCACCAGGCTCCCTGGCAGCCCAGCCGCCTCCATGCACGTACCCAGCGTCCTCACCTCCGCGGGGCCTCCTCCAGCACCGAGGTTGTAGCTGAGCTCCCCTCGGAGGCCTCGGCTGAAGCACGGGGCAAACTCAGGGTACAGTGCCAGGCTCTCATGCAGCCCAGCCAGCTGCAGACACTGCAGGACACAGTATGTCAGCCCTTTCACGTCGGCATTGGCCTTGACCACCTGCTCGCGACGACGGGGTAGCTCACAGCCAATCAGATCACCCTTCCCTGGGGAGAGGAAGCAGAGGTCAGCGAGCCTACCCTTCAGCCACTAGAGGGAAGTCGAGCGGAGGCTGCTGAGCTTTCCTGGTGGGCTGAGTGGGGCCTTACCACTACGGGGTCTGAAGGCAGGACAGGTGAGCAGAGAGGCCTGGGCCCTGGTAGACCCTGCTGCCTGCCTCACTGGCTCCTCAGACAGGGGTGGGGTGAAGAGCACTATGAACCAGGTGCTCCGGCACATTTGGGATCAAAGCCACTGTGCAGAAACACATCTGAATTTTAGTCACCAATTCTAGTGGCTCCCAGCCTGCCTGGGGATCAGCATCCTCTGGGAAAATTAACCAATCAGACTCCCAGGCCCTATCCCTACCTACAGAATCAGAATATCTACCAGAGACCCACAATCAGATAGTTTTCCAGCCTCCCAGGTGATTCAGATGTAGCTTATCCGGGAACAGTGTGTGGAATCAGCTTAGTTCTCCATGTGGCACAGTGAAAATGTCAGGTGGCCACGTTACTTAATCTTCCTGAGCCCAGGTGCCTCGAGTCTCTGCAATGGATCCTGTATTAACTGTGGTGCTTTCTCGATCTTACCAGCAGGTGTCAATGGAGGGTTTCCCCACCACCCAGCTGAGACTGCCACCTGGCTGACAGAGATTGTAAAACGGCATCAATTAGAGTGTAACATCAATTAAGAGTCTGCATCCCAATCTCAGAGATGTTAAATGGTGGGGGGAAAAAATGTGTTGTCTTAGAATCAATGAAACACGGCGTCTCCGAGTTAGTGGAGATAAAGTGCCTGACACATAGGCGACCAATCGAAGTTCTTCTTTCCCTCCCATCCTGACGAGAGTCCCCTATAGATCCTTCCCCACAGGGATGGTGTGCTATCAGGACTCACAGCCCTCACAAGCCAGCTCAACCCATGGCCAGACAGTTCACAAGATTAGAAAGCGTTTCCTTATCCTTAAGGAAGAAGATGGATCACCGCCACCCCCGCTGTGGACTGCCTCATGCTGCCAGCAGAACTCTAAATGTTCATGGACTTTTGCTCAAACTTTAGAGTAGAAAATGCATCACTGTTAAATCTTATTTTCTTGGTTTCAGGCCACCCTTCTGGCTCCTTCTGAGAGCTGTCTGGATCTCACTGTGATCATCTGATGAATGAGCTCTTTCTTCTCGTGTGTCATCTGGAAATAGGATAAGTGTGTATTTCTTGTCTTCATCCAAGAAGTGAGATAAAAATGAGAGCCAGGACAGGACCAAGGACAGAGTTCCGTGCCACCGGTCTCAGGGCCCAGAGACCGCCCTCCAGGCTGGCATCTCAGCCAGAGCCTCCAGCTCAGATCATCAAGCCCTGTAAGTTTCTCCCAGCACCATCACCCAGCCCACC